TGGGTTCCTGTAAGTTTTGAAATTACTAATTTAAACTAATTTCGTTATGCGATCAGCTGATTTCTACTTCGCCCAATTTACTTTACACAGGTCATTGTCGAAAAATCGCCAAGGGCTCGTGTGGGTAATCTGGATAAGAATAAATACTTGGTTCCATCGGATCTTACTGTGGGGCAGTTCTATTTTTTGATTCGCAAACGTATTTCATTGAAACCTGAGGAAGCACTCTTCTTTTTTGTTGACAATACAATCCCTCCAACTAGTGCAACTATGAGTGCTCTTTATGAGGTTAACTTTGCAAAATCTCTGCATACATTTATTTATATAAACTTAATTTTATTTGGATAATAATAATCTGTGCATATCGAGGCATCTTTATTAATTTATACTATTTCATAATCTTCCCCCCCCAAATTTGCTATTATTAGGGCCAACCATTTGTATAAATATGTTCACTGTTTTCTTTTGCTTTTTAGGAGCATCATGACAAAGATTTATTCCTCTACATTGCGTACAGTGACGAAAGTATATACGGCTAATTTGTTCATCCAAATAGGTTCTCAATATCCAATTTTGGTGTACTATTAAAAATTAACCATAAAAACACATACAAATATTCTGTCTTTCTTGCCTTTTTGCTATCATGCAGTTAATTAACTTTAATATACTCTCGACAAATCCTACCTAAGTTTCGTAACTTTAAGTTTGCGTCGTTTCTATTTTTCAAACTGTAATTCATTCAAATTTTTCAATATACTCGTTTACCAATTATTTTGCTCATTTGATGTTTTTTGTCTGAATGTTTTTCATCTATTTTGCATGATATTTTCATTTTGCCTTTTGAACGGTTTTCTTATTTTCTTTACTTATTCCACTATATTTCCCTGTGCGGAAATATCGGAAATATACAACAATTATTATATATGCATTGCCATTAAATCAAGCTAATTTTTGCGGAAAAAATATTAATAAACTTCCTGATTCCCTGATTCAAGATTAATGCTAGTAAACAATTTTACAATGCTGTTAACCCCTTCACCCCTACGCTCTTTCTAAGCCTTTCATCCGCTTCATGCTACTATGGCTTAAATAATTTATATCTGGCGATCTATTTCGTTATTCAAGAATGTCTTTGAATTTAGAATTTTTCGATTAGTCTGAAATTTTCGAGTATCCTTTAAAGACCAGTTGCCAAGCCTGGTTTCGAATTACTTATTGATGGTTAGCTTAATCTTAGCAATGGCATATTTTATTTTACTTAATGAAGTAAGTTTGCTGCTGGTTCATCGTCAATTTGGTTTAATTCTTTATTATTTGAAAGACCACTTAATTTCAGTCGCTTTTAATTTTTTTTGACGCAGGGTGCCTTTCTACTTGTGACTATCTTGTATGGCAGATTGTTTCATCAAATGTAAGATCATAATTTGTGCCTACCCACTTCACTTACCATCATCTATTGTTACTGTAGTTAATATTGATTTATTATTTGTTCTTAGTGATCGTTTTTTATGGACCTTTCATAAGTGATGCACTTTCGCAGTCGTTTAACTATGAATTTGAAAGCTATTCCCCCGGCTCTTGATGTCTTTTTAAAACTTGGATTATCTGTACTTTTATGCTTGGGTCTCTTCTTATTTATATGAGGAATTCGCAATTCATGCAGCCTTATTCTTAGTGCAAAACTTTTTCTATAGATTGAATTGTGCATTAAAAATTTCGCCCTATTGGTTCTTTCACTTAAAAAAAATTAGAGTAGTCTACGCTTCAAAGATCTCCAATTGATCTATGCTAATCCAAGAAAGTATATACTGTACCTAGGATAACTTGTATAGATGCGTGCTCTTACGATGGTGTCTCGATAACTTACACAATCCACGCTTTATGGAGCTCGGGCCATGGTGCCAGATATGGTGACTTGAAAAATCCTCTAATTCTTGGCCACCTTAAATTGCACCAGGTTTCGGCAATTGATGTTTGCGAAGGGAAGTATGCTTGAGTAGACTCTGTGGAACTGTTCTTAGAAGCTGTAGGCGGATTTTGACCTGACGTCACTACATGCCCTTCAGTTGTCATAAGAAACCCCTATAAATTAATTGCTTATCTTGTTAGTGTCAAAGATGCAAACTGGCCTTTAAGACACTTGCTGACTTGGTCGCACATACGTTTTCCATCTTGTATCCGAAATGGCCAGATTGGATTGTTTTCGAGCGAGCGTAGTGGTGTCTCTTGTAATTAAGAATTATTAATCCAGAAAAAAGCAAATATACTTGTGACAGTGTAGGAGTGTTACGATGATATAGGAATGGTAAATATACAAGGACAGGAGACATCACAACTGTTTAGCAGACAATTGCTCAAGGGATTGACTTCACTTGTCTTTGACGGGTTTTGGTGTGGTTCTGCAAAGTTTACTTAAGATGCCGGTGAAACGTCTGGGATTGTACCAAGTCAATAGTCCGACTAGACATTATCATGGATATTATGAACTTCCTACAAGGTGTATCCCTTTAGGTCTTCCTGCAAATATGACCAAATTGCGAAAACAAGTTCTATACAACGAAAGGAGACCGTGATCGTGCTAAAAGTCATACATTCTTATGGTCTAGAAATGTATGAAATCGGACCAAGCAACTGCATTCTTTCATAATGTATGATTCGTATATTCTGCCTATGTATAGAAGGAGCACTTCAGAAATTAATGCTGTTACAACTTCCATGACTTATCTGAATAGCGTATTACTTGCAGCAGCCCCACACTTCCAAATTCTTTAACAGAGAACTTTTTGCGCGATAAATTCTTATGGTTCTTTAAATTTGTTCCAGACCCTGAATCCTCTCCCGATTCACTTCTAACTTGTCATATTTTAACGTAATGGGCTAGGCATTAAGTTTATCCAAGTCTATATATAAAAGGAAGCTATATTTAGTACGAGGTAACAGCAACTTTCTCAAGGTCTATAAGAGACTGAGGTTCCAATAGATGCATATCTATTTGCGCGATCTTTTTATGTAAAAATTGTGTCGCTTCCCAAATACCCTGGCTATGTAAACCCCTATTCGATTCGAAGAAGTAGTTTTTAATTCCGATTTCACTGGCTATCGGACCTAACCACAATTATTAAGAAAGGTTTTTACCTTCTCCGTGATCGTATTAATATCCTTGACTGATCGGTCCCTTAGCTTAGAGAGGTAGTGTGCACTAAGTGGAATCTGTGCTCAATGTGACTCGATAGCAGTTTTTATGTTACTCGGACTGACTTATTTCGTGCCATTCTTCTATGCTTTGGCTAGAATTCTATTTGCAGTTATCCCTTTCATCTGAATTTGCTCGGAGACTTGGATATTGCTTTTAACACTGTTATCTAACCTAATGGAAGCTAAACTCTGACACGATGTGAAACTGCATCAAAAT